GTCAGTGAACTTATAAAAGCAAAAAACACAAAGCAACAACCCCAGGGGCAGTTTGGAGATTGTAGTTGAAGGCACCTCTACCAGGAAGGGATGATGTACTGARCCACAGCTCATCTTTTAGGAGGGCCACAGGGGTGTAAACAGTGGGTCTGCCCCAGGATTAAAGGGCATATAGCAATAAAAAAATATAAATAATATRCATTAATATTAAATAATATTAAAAGTATAATAAAATAATAGTTATCTCTTGAGGGGTTGGCTTGGAAGATGGTTTGAGCCCRGAGATGCCAGCAAAAAAACTGTGGCTCTGCTGTCCAGCATACCRCAACCAAAACATGCGCTTCTCTCCTGGGAAAGGTTTCTGCCTTTAAAGGAATAAAATTTGTTCTTTTTACTAACTGAAGACATGAAGATATAACTCCAGAATTTCTCAACTGCTTTTCTGTGTGGCCTGGGTGTTTAAGAGCCCCTTAAGGGCTCTTCATGGCAAAGGGCAACACAATAAATAAGGCAATAGCCAGTTGTCAGTGGCAAGCCTTCCTGGAAGAAGAAACCAGTTTGTTCAGGAGCCTGAAATCACAGCTCATCTATGAAGCCAGGCTTGCAGTCTTCCCTTAGCAATAGCGTGGCCGTCGCTGGGGGCTTCTGAGGAGCAGGCAGGTGGCCGTGCCAGCCACAGCTTTCAGCAGCACCGAATTAACAAACCCAGGTAAGAGACTGCCTGAGCGTGGCCTGGAGTCTGCAGGTCCCCACTCATATCTGTAAGAGTGTCAGAGCAGGAGCAGGGAGGAGGCAGAGAACCTGCTGCTGGGGCACACACTGCTACAGGCCTGTTCAAGCTCTCTAGGGAGATGGAGCCGGGGCAGTTGTGCTGTCTTCTCTGTCCATCAACCCCAGAGGGGCTGGAGGAGGATGAAGGGAGGCTGACTGTTACACCTCAGTGCTATGCTTAGAGCTTTTTGGTATTTAAATACACATGCAAAGTTACACGTTACAGTTTTTCCACCAAAAACCTTCCTCAGAAAACAACCAGTTGCTATGAGGCACTTATTTTAAAAATACTTCCATTTTTCACTGAAAATATTTTGCCTGGCTCCAACCAGGAGGCATTCCAAGCTGTGAAGCAGGTTGATGACACTGGTCACTGCTTACTGACATATGAACTGACCACCTGCACAGCTGAGCCCGCCAGACCTGCAGTGGCAAGGCTGCCTGGACAACACTTGGCTGCAAGTGGCTTTCTGCCCCTCGGCTTTCCCGGGGTCTTGCACAGTGCTGGGTGGCAATTCGATCAGAAAGAGCCCACCACGACATTAGCACGTGGGACTGAGACCGCAGAGCAGCCGGCTCCGAGAGCCTGGGGCAGGAGTCACACACTCCTCCAGGCTGCCCGTTATTCCCCTCCGGCAAGTGAAGGGGGACAAAACGCATGCAGGGGCACCACAAACATCATCTCGCCCTTGCTCCTGGCGTACGGCGGTAGCTCTGCTGGGCAGGTTCCCGGGGGAGATGACGCAGAGGGGAGCGATGGGGGGCTGCCGTGAGGACCGAGGAGAGGGCAGCCCCGCTGCTGCCCTGGCGCTCGCACCAGCTCGCCTGCTTCGCAAGAGGCGCCTCGAGCTGCCGGCCGCGGAGCTGGCGGCCTTGAAAGGCCTGCTGCTGGGATCCTGCACATCCATAATAACCCCCCTGCCTCTGTCTGCTGCACACACCACTGGTCCGTAATTGAAATTCCCTGGCTCTAATTCCCCATCTTTTGCTTATTTTAAAAACATTTAACTTCTTGCAGTACATGGCCAGAATAGAGCTTTACCTTAGTCTTCTCAGCACTTGGGCAAACTTCTCATTTCACTTTCTGATGACATCACATTTTCTTTGTCTGGACCTGAAGCTGCTGCTTCAGGCTTTTSCCTTTTATCTCTTCTTTCACCTTCTATTTTATCAGAAGAACCTGTCCCTTGATGGCAATTATTGCTCTGGTGCTTTGCTGACGGAGGCTGCTGCTCTCTGGTGACAGGGGAACGGCCGTTCCTACCTGCRCCGTCTCTTGCCCCAGCTGAGCTCGCCAGTAATTCAGCCAGGTCTCAATAACGTTAGCTGTGGACGAACGAAACGTGCCAGTTAACTGGCTGTAATGGCTTAAGAGATACAGGCAAGAGAATTAATATTTTTTAAGCTGTTTTCTGAAGTTCTAAAAATTAAGTTAGTTGAATGAATAAAGGGCAGGGTGTCCGACAGTTCAAAAGGTGTGGAGAGACCAAGTGACTGCTGTGCTGGAGCCTCCGCGCCCTCTCCTGCCTCCACGTGCTCTGACTGCTGTGTCTTTGCAGGCTCCTGGGACAAGGCCTCTCGCTGGCCACACCGCTCCGCGCTCGGGAGGTGCTGCTGCTTCACTGCAACACGTCTGCACAAATGGTATCTTCACTTACCAACAGCCTGGCATGACCAGCCTTGGGTCATGCGAAAACTCCACGAGAGTGCTTCAGGTCTGGCTTTCCTGGTCATGCGAAAACTCCAGCGAAAACTCCACAAGAGTGACACAAGTATTTCAGCTGTCCACCTAGAAACGTTGCAGAGATTGCTTTTGAGTGTTCAGGGCTCAATTACGTCTGAGGTCAAGGGATTTTGTCCTGTTGGGCATAACCCAAATTGCCAGGCTTTTCTGCAGCCCAGGCTGCCCGTGCCACCCACGGCACAAGAGCTCAGACCTCGTACATCTGTGGAAGGGCTGATCAATCTGCAGACACACAACTGCCTCACAGCTGGCGGCCAAATACTGCTCCAGCAGCTTGAGCAGCACGTGCACCTCGTGGCAGCTCTCAGCACAGGGTGACTTTCAACAGTCAAAGTGCCCTGGAGCTGCTCAGATGCACAAATTCCTGTTCCTGCTTTTCCTGCACTGTTAACGAGTGCTTGATTCAGGCACCGATCGGTACCTTCCCCTATTGCAAGGCACTGAAGCATGTGGAACTGCCTATAAAGAACAGCAATTTGGAATTTCTCTGAAATTATATGTAGGACCCTGTGGATAGATTAGCTGCAATTTGGATGGCAAACAGCCTTGTCTTCTTCCTTTTTTCACTGGCCAGTTGCCTGGGCCACTGATTCACAGCTTTGGAGAGAGCTCAGGGAAACAGAAGGAAGAGCTGCCTGCCCAGAGGTTAGTAACAACTGATGGAGAGCTCTCCCTCCGGGGCACTCTTGTACTCACCCAGGGTGGGTAAAAGCCTTGAATTTGTTACTAGTTGGCAGCTGCTCTAAGGCCTTCCTGGAGTAGAGCCCTGGCCATGATTCCTATTGCAGCAGAGCAAAGGTATTTTGTCGAGGATGTAGGGCTGAATGGGGTGAGACCCACAGCAAGTTAAACAGAAGTGGCTAGAAGCAGCCCACCGTGCTGGGTGGTTCTTTATTAAAGCTTGAGCAGCTTTAATAAATGCAGAAAGAGCCCTCTGCAGAAGGACAGATTTAACTGATCAGGAGCTGTGGGAGAAAGGGAAGGAAACAGTTATCCCAGACAATTAAGAGGCAAGATCTTGGTKAAGCATTATCCACGCTAGAATATAACGGAGATCCAGACTCAGCTCTGCAACTTATTTGCAATAATAAACCACAAAGCTTCTTTAGACCACAAAGAAGCTGCAATGGTACGAGTAGCAAAAGGGGAAATTAGGAAAGTGAGGTAGTGAGTCTCATCAGAGAGGGGAGAATGGAGAAGGGAAAACTGTCGCTAAGGAAGTCCCTTGCTGAAGGCACTCCATGGCCACATTAACTATGCACTTTCTGTGGTCAGTTATGGCAAAGCTCAACCCCGGGCATGGCAAAGCTCTGCTCCTTCTGSTTTTCTCCTAACAAACTAAAACCTSTCTCTCAGAACAAGCAGCCTGGTRGGTTTTTGGCTTCTCCTGATGCCACCTAGCGACTGCTCCCAGCCTCTTCAGCAGGTGGGATGTCGGGCAAGGCTCGGCCACAGAGCCCCTTCGCACAAGCAGCTTTCAGAGAAAAAGATGGTGCAGCTGAAGGGGCCCAGTGCTTGACAGGACCAAAGTGATGCTTGCAAGGAGATGGGCAGCTAGAGAACAGCTTGGAAAGCCAGACCTCAAGCAGTCTGGACTAGAGAACAGCTGGGATAGAGAATACTGATTTCTTCMGCACAGAGGATGACAGAAACCAGAGCCGTTTGCTACACAGTAAAGTTCAACACAGTACAAGAACATGGATCACTCTCCAGAGTTTATTTTTGATGATGTTTGTCATCCGTACAGATAAGGGAGAGAGGAAGTCAGACAGCCTGAGCATGCCCCTGGATGTCTTCCGACAAGCACAGCAGACATTCAGGATCTCCATTTTCACCCTCTTCTCTCCCCAGAGAAGCGCACTGGCCCACACTGAAGACACCGTAACCACAGCTGAGTGTTTAACTGATTGCAARGGAGTGATAAGCGCGCAGCGGGTGCGCTGGGAAGATCCCCACCGCGCAGTGGTGGCACAGAGTCTTTGAAACAAAAGTGAAGAGGTGGAGGCAGATCCTTCTCACAGCAGGGTACAATGGAAAACAACGGATGCAGCTGGGGGCAGCATTGGAAACAAGGATGCCTCTGAAGGCCTAGCAAATGCCAGGCCTGAGGCAGCTCAGCATGACTGAGATCACATGCCAGAGCAACGGATTCCCCTTCATCAGTACTGTACAGCAGGCAATGGTCTAAGTTTCTTTTTTTTATATATATATATATATATTTATACTTATATGTATAAAGCGCCTATCACCATATTGATAAACATTCTTTGGAACCACTCTGATGGCAGGGGTAGGAACAGGAGGCAGCCTGTTAGTACCTCAGCACTTCTGTTTCCAAACAATTGAAAGACAAAAAAAAAAAAAAAAAAAAGAAAAAGAAGCCACAGAACTTTGCTGCCAGCCTGCCTGGCTGTGTTTAATACTGCTACTCCCGTCGGGGCTGGAGGGAGACCTGCTGCGATGAGCGGGCTCGCGCGGTGGCTCCTCCGGCGCTGCCGCAGCGGGACGCGGAGGCTCCGAGCTCGGGGCCGGCAGCGCTCACGGCGTCTCGGCAGCAGGGAGCAGGCAGCAGGCAAGGTCCCGCAMGCAGCGCTTGCTCCCGCTGCTCACGGCTGCGTTAGAGAACGTTCTGGACTCCTCCCAAGTTTCGGAAGATGGCCAGACAGAAATACATGTCAGTTATAAATACACCGTGTCAGCTGCGGGGAGGAGGGGGAGAGAGAGAGGGGATACAGAAGGGGCGTAGGAAGGGGAGGAGAAAAGGAGACCCTTACATTTCCAGCACTGGAAAGAATAGTTTTGACCCCACGCAAGAAGTCACTGGAGCTTTTCACTAGTCTTACGTGGCTTTTGCCCCGTCATCTTCCACACACCACCAAAAGGAATGTTGGCTGGCAAAGGGTTAACCAGTCCCGCACAGTGGGGAGCAAGGCTGCAGTCTGCTGGGCAAGTCCCCACCACATCACCGATGATCTCAGGGTCCAACTTGAGGGGAAACGCAGCTTCTCGAGGCTCACACGTCACTCAGGGCCTGGGGACAGCCAAAGAACAGAAGTGTGAGGAGGAACCTGCCACAACTCTTACAGTCCTCAGCAGAGGCCTGGCTTCAAAACACCACAGCAGCATGTGGCCTCATCCCTAGGACACTCTGAGCATCCCTCTCTTTTCTAGAGCCTCCAACTCTGAGCCCAGCTAGGAAATGAAGAAATAATCATAGAATCCCTAAGGCTGGAAGGGACCTTTAGAGATCATCTAGTGCAACCCCCCTGCACACGCAGGGTCACCCAGAGCATGTGGCAAAGGCTGCATCCAAGCAGGTTTTGAAGAGCTCCAGAGACTACAACCTCCAGACTCCACAACCTCCCTGGRCAGCCTGTTCCAGGGCTCTGKCACCCTCACTGKCWAGAAATKTTTCCTTAAGCTCCTGTGGAACTTYTGGTGYYTCAGYYTRTGGCCGTTTCCTCTAGTCCTGTCGCTGGCCACCACTGAAAAGAGGCCGCCCCCTCCTCCTCACTGCCTCCCTTGAGGTATYTMTARACACTGATCAGGTCCCCCCTCAGCCTCCTCTTCTCCAGGCTGAACAGGCCCAGCTCYCYCAGCCTTTGCTCACAGGGCASATGTTCCAGGCCCCTGATSATCCTCGTAGCCCTGCGCTGGACTCTCTCCAGCAGCTCCACATCCCTCTTGTCCTGGGCAGCCCAGAACTGGACACAGKCTCCAGATGTGGCCTCCCCAGGGCTGTGTATAGGGGGACGATCACCTCCCTCGACCTGCTGGAGACRCTCTTCTTGATGCACCCCAGGATCCCCTTGGCCTTCTTGGCCCCGAGGGCACTCTGGTGCCTCATGGCAGTTGTCCAAACGCTGCAGAAGTACAGGCTATCCTTTGAGAAGGTAGACCAAATTACACCAGAGCATCCTTTCTTTACCCCCTGGTTGGCATCAGAAACCACAACCCAGTTTTACCAAAGACTTTTGGAGCTTTCCAGTGGGAAGCACCAATTCTGCAGGTTCTCAGGCTTGTTTTTTGGTCACAGAGGTAGCAGTGATCTGCCAGCAAGGCACAAGACACCAGTCCAAAAGGTAGCTGCAAAGTGAACTGCAGTCCTCCCAGAGTGATTCATACTCTGCTGCATCACACAAAATGCTGTCCTGCTTTGACTTGCCCACAGAAGCCTGGAGGGCTCTAGAAGATCCTCAGCCCTGCGGAGCCCCAGCCAAGGAAAAGTCACAGCTCAGCCTTGATGGAGGAAGAGCAGCAGAGTCTTGCTTACCTTCCGTGCAAACTCTGGCAGGACGAAAGCTGCTCGATGGATGTCAGAGTTGTAGTATTTCAGACTCCTCTCCTCCACTTGTTGCTGGGAGAGCTGCTGCACGGGTTCCCGGAAATTTGTGTTCTGCAACASAGAAGCCAGGCAGCCTCCTAACGCTCGGGTCATGAGCAGAGTGGGATAGGCATCCCAGTTCATGGCAAAGAACCAAGAGGACTCCGAGCAAAACGGGTGACTTCCCTAGTGCAAGCTCACTGGTTTTGCAGTGAGCCTCAGCTCATGCTCCCTACCTAGTGTGACCTCCCCTTTCTCATAGGGGTCCACATACAAGGACAGGCTGTGCGTGAGCAGTGCCAGCTGAAGCTTTCCTGTCCTGCCTGAGCATCTACCGGGCAAGGCCTTTGCACTTGGGAGCAGAACGCACCCGAGCGTTGCCAGGCTCAGTTCGTGCTGCCCGTCCCCCAGAGAAGCCAAATTCAACCTGCAAGGCAGGAGTGGGGAGAGCGCCGAGGCCGAGCTCAGCGGTCAGGGGCTGGAAGCAGATCCTTCCACTGTGAGCAGCGCACGCGCCCCAGCTGGGCAGCGTTTGGAGAGCTGGGTACTGCAATGAAGCTCTGCAGGCACCTTCCAGGGAATCGAAATCAGCACTTGGCGTGTCTGAAACTCACCGGGTTCTTGCTGCACAGCATGAAGCCAATCTGCCCGCTGGGATACGTGGGGATGGTACAATAGGCGTATTCCACCACGGGGAACAGAGACTTGCAGAACTGACGCATCTCCTTAATGAGATCCAGGTGCAGCCACTGGCACTCACCTACAAGGAGGCAGGGAGAGAGGGTGCGAGGTGAGAGCTGCCCCCTGCTCTGCACAGCTCTGTGCCAGGTTAACAGAGGCTCCAAGCCCAAACCTGCTCTGCTCTGCACAACTCATGTGAGTTCAGAGGCGAGGGGAGATAAAAGATACCCAATTTATGCAAAGCGTTGTCCAGCAGACAAGTTGACAAGCACAACACTACCGCACTTGGACGCTGATTGGGATTTCGCTCGCTGGCTCCCGTCCCCCCAGGAAAACGGGTCCTCTGAGGCTCGCGCTTTGYGTGCAGCCGCCTGCCAGCAGCGCGTGCCCAGGGAAGGCGGCATCCTCACCTTGGCAGCAGAGAATCCCATCTTCTCGCAGAGCTGTCTTCATCAGCTGGTAGTAGGATTCTTTGAATAAACTTTCTGCAGGACCTGGGAAAAAAGGGAATGAAGAGAGATGTCAAGAGAGAAGAGTCTAAGATAGGTCCCCCAAAGGCTTTCTGAATGTCCAGGCTTCAGGACTGGGGGCTGCTGACAGTGAAAAGATCTGTTTCCAGGCACTGACCAGTGGGGATAACCTTGGCGCGCTCCCTAGTCTCCTGAGGATGATACTGGAAGAGGGATTTCAAATGGCTTTGTGGTGATGGAGATAATCTAGAAGCAGAGTTTTGAGCGTGGGATTCAGCCCACACCTCATTAGYGAGCCCAGCACCTTTCCCAAGGAAAGTCCTAGCAGCTGCTGCTTGCTTCAACAATGTTTGTACACACTGCATTCCTTCCCCGAATTACCCTTCAGAGATGCTTGCTCCTCTGTGTTGACTATGGCAAAAGGGAAGCTGACTCAAGCATCCAACRGGAGATCCCTGAAATGAGGCAGCTTAGCTAAATTTAGTCCCTCTCTGCCTCGGTTCTTCTCTGGGAAAGGCAGCCAGAGCCATCTCTAGGCTGCTTAGCTGCCCTGAGAGCATGGGGGCCGGCGCTTCACTAGGAGCACGTGGTTAAAGCTGCCACCTGGTTCAGCACCCCCGGCCATCCCCMCATTCAAGGATCAACTCCCTGCCTGCAGCAGTAGCTGCCGCAATGGGGTTTTGAGGACAGAAACGTGACAGACAGCTGGTTGAAGCCCTGCTAATACCATTTCCTGGTCATCATCCTTCCCTTACTCAGTGACTTTAAAGGAGACCTGACAGGCCAGTGTTACTTCCAGAAGATAATGAGCAGAGTAAAGGAGGAAACGCAGAGCAAGCAGCAGCCTCTCGCAGCCAGACATCTTACCCATGGGGTCAGACGAGTCCGTGATAATTACATCAAAGGCTTCTTGATTTTGTTTCATGAACTCAAAACCGTCTCCCACGTGCAAGGTCAGCTTAGCACTCGAATAGCCCACTGCCATCCCTGGGAGGTATTTCTTAGATACCTGGATCACATCCTGCAACACAGAGCGCGTTAAACGGGTCAGTGGGGACTACGAGGAGCTACTTCTGCAGCTACTGTGCAGCTGCAGCTGAAAGAGCAGCATGTGAGTCATTTCCTTCCATGCCTTCAGCACTATCTCGCTCGCTAACAAGCGACTCTCAAGAGCTGTCAGGATCTTCCAGCCAACAGGCTACGCTCAGCCCTTTCCTATGGCCTCAGGGCTCAGCGACACTGTGGGTCTCTCTGTGCCAAGCTCAGCAAGAGGAATTTGGAGCTTCAAAAGCTCCCTCAGGAACTAAGAGAATCTAATTACAGATAGGCCGCTCCATACTCCTTCTCCCTAGGGACAGCGGTTACAGAGGTGATCTCAACTAAATATTTCTTCTCTTTTTAATGACTACGGCAGCAGGTTTAAGGGTCCAAGATGAGATACATCCCTGGCTCTGCCCTGCAATTATAACTCCCAGGAGTTTTCTCTTTAAAACTGCCAGGGGCCACGTGCTGCAGGAACGGAGCGGCTGCCCAGCAGCTCTACCAACGCCACCCCCTCGGCCGGGACGCGAGGCCGTGAGGCCACACGAGTTCCAGCCACGCACAGGAACCCACCAACGTGGCGGGAGCCGCGTGGCCGGCCGCAGCGCCGACCCCGGCACCGCCTTCGCTGTGGGAGCGAGCGGGACTCCCCCAAAACACGGCCCAGTGCCACAACAACCCCCCACCCCAGGAGGAGGCGGGCACCCTGCCCGCGCCCACAAACACTCCGTGCGTTCCCCACACTGAGGTGCAGCAGAGCACTCAGCAAGGGGAGAGACACACGGGGCGACGGCTAGAGGGGAAAGAGCACCACTTGGCGAGGCCGGAGCCCTCCTTCTCCAGGGCAAGAGCCTGCGGGCGCGGCGCTCGGCCCTGCGAGGCCGCACGTGTGCGAGCGCGGCGCCAGCTGCCACGTCGGTGGCTCGCGCGGCACAGCGGGGGCGGGAGGCCGCGGGCAGCGGGCGAAGCGGCAGCAGCAGCAGCGCGCGGCCGCCCCACGCACCTCRTCGATCTCGCACTGCACCACGGACTCCACGGCGGGGTGCTTGACCACCT